ATATAGACTTTTGCGGAGTCATGGTGAAAATAACCATAGTGTTATTTTCACCATGATGGGGGCTAATCCCCCATGAACTCCCATCCCATAGAGTAGAGATCTCTCCTCTTGTCCCATCCCCCTCTCCTTGGGTACGCTTCTGGTTACTCATATCATGTCCTCTTTGCATCATTTCATGCGTCCCCGAGATTACACAGGAAAGTTTGAGCAACTAAAGCAAGATAGAAACTTGGGGTTTTATTGCATACCATTACTTATTGTTTAAGGATTTACTGACAAAAAAGATTTCTCTAATATAACGTGTCTATATGTAATTAAAAAAAATAACTTGTAGTTTTCGCGGCGCGCAATTCGGTTTTCAGTTTGATCTCTGCTTCTGAACATAAGTGTAGCTTCACTACCTTTTCACGTTTTCTTGAGCTGTGGGGAGTGTACGTAATCGTTCTCCATCCTGTAGTAAGTCGATTCCTTCACGTATAAGACTACGAAAAAGCCAAAATCTTTAGGTGATAAGCCTTTTCAATTTATTTTTCGGAGCGCATGTCTCATACCAATTCTTACCAAAAAACAAAACAAATTGCACTTCCACCCATAGTACGTCACGCAGTTTTCATTTTTTTATTGCTACACTTAATGTTTCACCAAAAACTCCTTACTCAGTTGGCAGAGGTTTGCAAGATGCCAGTACGGACGGACTGATCGCATGTACGTGCGATTTCTAGGAACATGGTGAACTTAATCTCCACATGATGTTGGATTCCAGGTCGCAGTGTATCTAAACAACAATAATCCTCTAGGAGGCCACGAAGCTGTTTTAGGGAGATCGTGGAGGGACAACCAGGTGAAATCAGGGCGGGGGTTCTCTTGCGCATCGTCTCCGACTTTAGCGAATTACTTTCAGGCATCATTTTGCGTCACAATATTAGCGGGAATTTTAAATGCAGCCAGGTACCAAAATCACATTGTTACACTTTTAAATATTGCATCTAGTACACCTTTATCGTGTTATGTTTGGTTGGTTATAGGAAACATTTCTTTCACATATTACATCTTTTACACCTTCCAGTTATTTTTGGTTGATTACCGTTGAAAATTGTGACTTTCGGCCACTTTCAAAATGTTTCGCAAACACTTCTCGCTCTCACCGAGAGAGATGGCTCAGGACATCAACTGATGTCACAGCAATCAGACCGGAAAGTCCTAAGTTCGAGTCCAGACGGTGGCAGGATTTTCGACACTTGCTTGTCAGCTAGGTCGAATCCAGACGCTGCCTAGAGGAGAATTCTAGCGGTCAGCTGCTGTGATCGGTAGTTTTCCGTTGTTTCTCCGATCAACACCAGGCGGATGCCGGAGCAGTACCCTAACAAATGAGCCACGGACCGCACGCGATCTTTCCTACCTCTGACTCGTTCTATCCTCACATAGACCACACATGCTTGTTCCGGGTGCTGGGGCGTTGCTCAGCTGGTGGGAGATACCTAGTTAGGGAAAACCTCGCTAGCCGACGTCCAGCTGGGGAAGACCACCGCCACCTCGCGAACAAAAAGCATGCGAGAATAATGACCTTAGTAGTTGACGCGCCCGGAATCACTACCAATAAATCATTCTCGCTCTCCATGCAAATTCGTCAGGTCTTGCTTTGCAAATTAAGTGATCGTGCTGTGGTTATGTGGTTCATGACTAACTGGTGCTGCTCAGAACGAACAAAAATTGGTGTACCTAATAATCGGTGTACCGGAATAACTCACCCACATCTTTCCACCATGAGTGAATGAAATTTGACGAGTGAAATTTTGCGCTATTTGAGTTGTCACTTCGAGAAAGGTATCGAATTTAGAATTTAGGAGAGGGGCTGAATGAGAGGAGGAAAAGGGGGAGGGAGAGAGAGGAAGAGATACTGAAATATTGGTATACTATTTGCTAGTATAGGAAACGTTTTGTGAGGCAGTGGAAGCCAATAAATTGAGTTTAAATGGACCATTTTCATTAAAATCAAGACATGTCAAATTTGAAATTTGTACATAATTTTAATAGCATTTTCTTTCATAACATGGCATATCCCTTGGCTACAGGTGAAGTTCTATTCTTAATTCATTTCAAATGTGACATGTCTCTAATCACCCTGATTTATTCTGTTATTTGGAACAATTAAGGAGCTTTTTATTAGGTGTTTATTGGGTATTTGTATTAAAAGATGTGCATTGCAAAATATGAGGTTTCAGAATCACCCCGATTCCCAGGCTTGGGAATGCTATTCCTGAGGATTTATCATAGGTGGTCAAGAGAATCAATTCCCATTCATTTATCATTTAAAGAATTTTAGTGTAATCCCCTCTTCCAATACGTAAAGCAGTAATGGTTCATGTTCCTGGAATTTTCATTTCAATTGCATATTCTAGAAAAATTTCATTATTTCTTGAAAAATGACTTTTTCATAAGTACAAGAAATTGTGCATTAGTATCTGTGTAAAATAATTTTTATTTCAAAGTTGCCAAAGTTAAAATAGTGGTGCTTAAACAGCACTTCTTGTAAGTCTGTACTATCACGCAAAATTATGAGAAAAGAACTCAGATTTTTCGAAAAACTATACATGACCTTATTTCGCAATATGGGAAGAGAATAAAAAAAAAAAAGAAGAAGAGGAAACTGATATATTGGAATCAAAATAGTAATAAAAACCACGATTATGACTTTAAATAGAATAGAGGGTAATGGAGGGCCTATTTGTAGTCTAGTTTCGCCTATTTGCAATTTTAAGCAATATTAATTTCTTGTATGTGAGAAAGTATCATTGCAATAGTGAGTACAATGAAAGATTAAAAATAGAATCTTCTAGAAGAACAATTTTTTGCGCTTTGATAGCTTATGTAACCCTGTTTCTAAATCAATAAAGGCAAGCAATTCATTTAGGTTTTAAAACAGTATTAATTTCAAAAAACTAAATAATAAAGACATTTCTACATTATTGATTATAAGCCTTTACCATTGTTAACAATTAACAAAACACACAAAGTCTTTCAAATGTTGTTTAGGTTTGAAGCTTGCCATCTTATGTGATAATCTCCTGCGCTTAAATGAGAGCATTGCCAACAGCCAATAAATAGCAGTTTGAATTAGGGGGGATGATAGCATCTTCTTCACTTGTATTGTGTTGTTGATTAGAATATTGCTACTTTCATAAAGGGGGTTTGGATAAAAGTTTTGCAGGACCGCACTCATTTCATTACGCTACTGAATATGGTAATACAATCACTACCAATGTAATGTAAGTTAATGATTTTAACTGATTCCAGAGTGAATGTTACAAACACTAGCAAGCTTCTAACAACCTTACAAACACTAGCAACCTTATTAGGAAGCTCAAAATTGAAACTTTAAAATATTTTCTATACAGGTATTCTCTCAAATTAGTTTTAATAATATAATATTCCTCCACATACAGGAGCGGATTTATGCCTAGGTGAACTAGGCAGCTACCTAAGGGCCCACCCTCAGACAGAGGGGGGGAGATGACAATTATGTAATAGGGGCCCCAATAAATTTTCAATCAAAAATGTTTTTAGTTCATAAATATGAAAGATATTTTTCAATTAATTTAATGGTAGAAATATATTTATTAAATTCATATTATAAAATATTTTGGCTACTGGATATTAATTATAAATAAATTAAAACAATAAAACAATTATATGGCATATGTTATTTGTTCATGCCAGATGTTTGGGGACCTGGTAGTGAAGAGGGTAGTGGGAGGGGCTCCAGTTTTTTTATTGCCTAAGAGCCCAAGGTCTTGATGTCCAGCCCTGTGCATTCATCTCGATTATACTTTGAAAAGTGAACTGCAACTGCTGGTTCTCAATTTCATTGAATGTTGAATGTCTAAATTGTTTTTAAATCTTGTTTCTACTTTTGTTTGTTGATTGTAAAATTCGTTTCAGTCCATTAATAATTCTTTTGGTAATTTTAATTTTTTTATTTAAGTTAAAGATAGTTATAAGAGTAATCTTTCCCATTCTTCTTTCAAAATAGCAATATGTTTGACTATTTAATGAAGAAAATATATTAAAAGGAAAGTTTTATTCACGTTTTTTAAGATCCTAAAAATGTGAAATCATAAATTATACACCCAAATTTTATCCCAAAAGAAAGCTACTTCCGGAATATTGATAGTCAATAAATAACATTTTCCATGTCACAATATATCGCTATTCCCGAAAAATATTACAGAAGTAGCACATATCTATGATTTTCCCATATCTTTCCCAGTAGGAAGTAAATGAAGAACACATTCAGTATATTTACTATTATTTTAATCTTCAGTTATTTATTATGATGATTTTCTTCAACATATGATATTGAAAAATAAAATCATGTTATTCAGTAAATTCTATACTGCATTTTCCCCCCTTTTTTTGCCCTAGAAAGATTTGTCAATCTATCATAAAAAAATTCATTTATAAAAGATAAAGATATCTAAAACAAGTGAAGAGTTTATAACAATACACATAAAAAATGCAATTTATAAATCAAAACTTTCACTATGATTTTAACAAAACAGTAGTAAACATTTATTTAAAAAAGAAACTCAGAGTCTTGAATATGCTCTTTGAATTATAAATTGGTTTACAACAAGGAATGTTAGTCCAAAATTTAACATCATTTTCTTCCTCCATCTGCTCTTCTTGTTGTAGATACCTATAAAAAGGAAAGACCTTATTAACAAGATACATTTTTATGAGGCACATTGTTAACATTACAATGTGTACACGTAGGCTTCCGCGGCTCGAGTCCATTACTTCTAGGCTGTCCAGGTGATGCCGCATCATTGGCAGATAGGCCGTCGTTTCACCTGTCATGTCACAGGCTTCTTCACTACCCTGAAGAAGACTGCGACATGACAGGCGAAACGTCGGCCTATTTGCCAACGACGCAGCGTCACCCGGACAGCCTAGAAGTAACATTACAATGTACTGAATACGCAAGATTTAGTTCAATATTCAAATTATTATACTATAAAGAATAGCACAACAAACACAAAATTGAAAATAATTAAAAAACTACTGTCAATTGTTACTGTTTTTTTGAAGTGTTATTAAGTTTCAAATGTTAATTTTTCCTAAATGATTTACCTCACAAGAATCCTTTGAACATCACTAGACAGTAACATTTCTTTTGCTGCAAACAGCCAGAATACGTGTTGATTTTTCCGGATATGCACAATGTCTCGATATGTCCAGTAAAATTTAAAGATCAATTCTTCAAACATGACCAGTTTTTCTGGAGCTTCAAATTCTGAAGTAAAATTACACATCATGTTGACACATATCTGTCATCCATTTAATACATTAAACACAGTGAAATGAGAGGAATGGAGGGAGGGATATTTTCCTCATATCCTTTGAATGTAATTTACCAAATAAAATACTTGCTTTGATGTTTGAGGGAAAATGTATAACTTTTTTGTTTACATCTGTGAGTAAATTGATTTTGATTTCATTTTAAACAATGTGGACTTTTCAAACAATATGAAAACAATCAAAATCAGTATGAGGAAACACTCAAGTGTTTCCTCCTCTCATACCGCAACTGCCCATATCTCAGCGGTCCTTTTGTCCAAAAAAGAAATGAATCCCTACAGGCTGAGAGGAGCTCATCCCTTGAACTACCATCTAGAGATGTTTCTAACTGTAGCAATGCATCACTGGGCTCTCTATGTGCATGTGAGTCATGTCACACTTCACTAAGATGTAATCTTAACACCGTGGGCTGGCGGAAGCCCAGGCGAAGTGGCAAATCAATCTTAGATTGAATGAATGTAAAATAGTATTTTATTGCACAGGAATAAGAGAGAAGAAAATGGTTACATCAAATTAGCAAGTGCAAATTTTGCCATACCTTTTTTTTTAACAGTAGTTACAAATGATGGCATGGCTGTAATATAAGCTACAACTAAATCAATTTGTTTCATTTGCTCAAGGTATTTTGATCTCAGTAGATCTATATTTCCCAGGTTTTGAATTTTTTCATTACTAATGTTGTCATTATTCTCATCAACATCCAAAGAAGATGTGAAATATGTATTAATATTAATGCCAACATCCTGAAGAATTTGAAAACCTAAAAGTTTTAAGATGAGGATTAGATGAAAATGACAAAAATTAAATAAAGAACTGAATAAATTAAAGACATTTTCTATGGAAATGAAAGATGTATACCTTTTGCAGAGTTTTCAAATAAAGAAAGAACAGTCAGTTTTTCTTTTGGAAACATGTCTGAGGGATATTCTGTCTTGCCCTCCTGAGTTACAAAGTAATTCTGAAATACCTACAACATAATCAAATAATATGTTAATTTAATTAATAAACATGTAATTAATTTACATAATAAACATGGAAACAAAGAATTTGACATGACATTTTTTAAGTATACACAATTAATCGATACTAATTCCATCTTGGCATCTGCTAGGGATTGCTGGTAATAAATATTATTAAAAAATTTATATTAGGAAGGCCTAAAGAAATTATTTTCTACAAACAGGTGAAAACAGTTCCAAATAATGAAACTAGTGGTGCTAAAACAGCTCATACCTAACTGCATTATTTCTACATTTGCAATTTTCAAAAACTCACTGAGTTTCAAATTCACTTGTTTTATTGGTGGACATAATTTTAAAAATGTTGTTAAGTTTTTGGGAAAATATATTTTTTATATATTGCATTACTTTCAAGAAGAAATTACGTGAAAAATACTCATTTTTCAAAAACTTCTACACAACCATTTTTAAAATTTTAATTTTTTAGAACAAATTGTTTTAAAGACAAAACTCCCATCTTCAATATTGCACTTATGCAACAGATACAAATGAACATTTTGTCTTTGATGGATTTTTCAGTGTCAAGGGCCCACAAATTATGGATTTTGACTACACAAGATGCTAGAGGAAGTACTTTACTACATGTTGGAACAAGGTTCATCTAATTTTTCCAGTCCCGGCAATAAAGGTTTTCTGTTGAAACATCATTATTTTTTTCCTGCAGCTTTCAATTCTTTCTCTATACTGTGTAACCATAAAGCAAGAAAGTAAAACAATATGCTAAATCAGCATATACTTTCTCAAATTATTTGCAATTGTTTGCCCATGCCAGGATTAGAAATCAAATTCTTAGGTTTAGCTAGTAAATCATGTAATCACTACACCAACTGCCTGATTCTGCATAAACTTCCTGGCACATTTAAAAGAAAGTTGGGTGACGGCAGCAGTGGTGGTGGTAGTGCTGGTGGTAATGGTGTTGATGGTGCCAGTGGCAGTGGTGATGATGGTGCTGGTGGTGGCAGTGGTAGTGATTGTGATGGTGTTGGTGGCAGTGGTGGTGGGGAGGACGGTGGTGACAGCAGCAGTGGTGGTGCTGGTGGTAATAAAGATGATGAAATATTTTCAAAGAAAAAATATTAACTGAACTGAAAAAATATTAAGTACTCTCTCCCATTTTATTCATTACATCGTTGCCACACATTAACATATTTCTTAACCTTTCTTGTGCATTGAAATAATCCTCCATCTTAAATTAACTTTGTCTTTTTGTCTCATTACGTCACAGTCAATTAGTGCACATTATTCCTTAACCTGGGTCAGAGAGTCATAAGTTAAACTCATTTTTCTCACTTTAGAATTACATAAAAAAGCCTTAAAACATTATTTTGATTGGAAAAAGTTTTTTTTTTTTTTAATTTTCATATCTAAAAGATCATTTTTTCAGTAAATTTCAGAACTTCTAATCATTTGTGGCCATTTTTATTTAAAATCAGTAGAAGCTAATTTTCTTTCCTTTTGTTTTATTGTTTGGGATAACTTTCACCTCTTTGTAGAAAAGACTTGTCTTTAAAAATGTTTTCTTCTCAAAATGTGCTATTTATTTTTTCATATTATATACTACCCTCTTCCTTACATGAAAACAACCATTATCATTTGAAAAACGAACTTACGTTCATTCTCCAAGACTCTCTTTTTATTAATGACAATCCAGTTCTTGGCGGGATACACAGTAAGCATATACATTGCTGGTTCATTTTTATTTCAAACTTTTGTGTGCAATGTTTACAATACATTCTGAAATTATAAAATAAAACAATAATAATAATTAACTACATTAATAAACAATTCAACTGCAATGTGATGTTTGAGAAGATGTAGAACTACAATTTAGTCTTCAGTAGGAAACCCCTCAGCACCTGCTAAGGATTGCTGAGATATTAAATAAGAGTGGGGTTCCTGCACAAAAGAAAAATCTCTTATTCAAACTTGAATTCTAAAAAAAATGTTACACAAACAATAAACAATAACAATGAATAACAATATATAGAATTTTTTACAGTTCTCAATTTGCTTAAGTTTTTAAGGTCAAAAAATAAATTTATAATTACACTACAAACAAAATAAAATGTGATCTCAAAACATAAAATAAATAAGCATTAAATAAACAAATAAGTTATATGTAGATTAACTGAATTGGCTAGGGTCTTAAATGCATTAATAGCTAAATGTTTTCATTAATAGCATAAGCTAATTGTTTATTTGGGGCACCTCTTGAGAAAACATTTCAGAGGTATAAAAATGGACATTATTCCCTTATTTTATGATTATATCATTATTATGTAACCTATTTTTAATGTCTGAACGTGTATGTTCTATTGTTTTTCTTTTATGAAAAATATTTGAAGAATCAGCAAGGAAAAAATATTTCTGCACATTGTGTCAGGAAGAGAGTATCATTTATACAAAGCAGGAGAAGGTCACAACACAAGATGGATCCTTGCACAACTCTAATTGTAACTTGGCATTTAATTTGAAAGAAGAGAAAGTGATGTCCTTTCTTGCCAAAAAGGGATCTTTACTTAGTGACTATTAAGGTAGGAAGTAGCCAATCAAGAGCCATACCTTTAATTCCATTTCAAGTTAATTTGGAAAGCAAAATTTTAGGGTGAATAAAATTCAACATTTTAGAAAGCTCCAGGTAGTGCAAATAGAATCATGCGGCATATCAATACAGTTACATTATTCAAGCATAATTCATTAATTACTAAAACATTGGGGCCATGAAAATGAAAATGTTACACAGATTATACATACCTTCCACATTTTTCATTTGCACATACAGAAGTTTCATGTGCAATGTGTCCGCAAACACAGCAGTTTATCTGTGAGGCAAATCATATTTTTCAGATAATGAAAATTTACAAATTTTTGTATAATTTTTGTAAGGCAGAGTGGCCATCTTTTCCGGGAACAAATTTCCCTGACTTTTCCCATTTTTCTCATGCATTCCTTTATTTTTATCACACAAAATTTTTTAAGTATTTCATGGAATTTAAAGAAAATAGTCAACTTCAACTAATCGATTATTATAATATTACATTGTACTGTATCTTACACATTAATATTTTATACTTTGAAATCGAGTGATTCCCTGAGTTTCTCAATTCAGTTATTAGGTATTAACCCTATTATATTTATAAAAACAAATGACAGTAGCAGGAAGCATTAAAATGTCCTATGGTTCAAAGGTACAAGTGATCGGGATGTTGTCGGTTAGATCCCCATAAGAAGCTGGGGTTTGCCTGATGTTTTTACCATTGGCAAGATGTGGAGCCTACTGGGATCAAAGACAAACTGACTGCTCTGCTTAGTTGTTTTCCATGATTCTACTATGCATTATAAAGTATTCTACTATGAGGATGGGGTATGTGCAATTGCTCCAAAGCAAAAACCAGAGGCATCACAGGTAGTAAATGTCTGAAGCAGACTGTTGATCTAGAAAAGAAGAATATTTATGAAAATCATTCTACTTCTTGATAGAAATCAATTTCCATAAAGGCACTTTCTTTCAAAGATCTTGGTTTGTGATGGAAATTTAGCAGACAAATAACAGAGAAAGTATAGACCAATTAAAGTCAATAAATAACAGAAAATACTGCAAGATTTATTGATGTACAGAATATTGCACATCAGCATGTGCAATGAATAAGAGATGATCATTACTTTCTGATGCTTCCATCCTGTGGGTTTTAGCAAGACCTCCAGGCTAACACAGTGCTGTCAGTATTTTTTAGAACAGGAGGATGGGGCATATGACAATAGAAGTTTGGACAGGGTGAGGATTTGTGTGAGGTCCGTGGACTGTTTGGTATTGTACACCTCAAACATCTACCTGGAATTAATTAGAAGGCCACAGAAATGTCACACACAATTTTTACTGTTTTTTGATGCTAAATAAATTATTAAAATATATGACTAATCAGGGGAGACAGCTACTAGAATTTTCGTTCACGCACTAATTTCATACAGCAACCACAGATTCTTACAATTAGTTCAAAACAACAACAACAAACCTCAAACTTCATGGTCTATGAAGTTATAATTTTTATTTATTAAGTAATGGTAACAGCAAAAAAACTTAATGTACCATTAATGTGGTATCAAATGTCATTTATCTTATAAACTAAATAAACCAAATCAGTCATTAGATCATCATATTTTTCACATTATCTAAATCACAGTGACTAAGTCCCTTGCCAATTTATTCAGTTGTGTTATTCATTTCTTCAGCAATGATGATTGAGACTATCCTTGACTTCTTCGTCATTTTTTTTTCACTGCATGATAAATGCAAACCTTTCAAACATCACTCCTACATCAAGACAGCCATTCTCAATGAAAGAAATGCCTGAGAATGACAGAGAATTGGTGAAAGCTTGTGAGAATAAAGCCTTTCCATGTAAGCCAATCTGCGAGGTCACATATCAACCAATGATCAGCAACACATGGGATGGGAATTTGTGGACCAATGTGGCACAAGCAGTAATTGAGCACCTGCTGGAGGGAGACAGGCGATGGACACAACTGGAGTTTAAGAGTGAAAGTGGTATCGAAAAAAGCACACTTGCAGGTCGTACCGTGTGTTGCTGATTACAGATTGCTTCATGTCCTCCCTTAAACACTCCTGGCTATTGGGCATTATTCCCAACAGCTTCCACCAATCTCCTGTGACATTTCAGGGTATTTCTTCCATAGAGAATGGCTGTCTTGAGGTAGGAGTGTGGCTTGAAACAGTTACATCCATCCCACACATCAGTAGTCTGATTTCATATTGCTATCTATTCTAATAGGGGCACTCAAAGAACCAACTGTTGTTGTGAATACACACTAGTACTACATTTCTTTCATGTGGCAAATAAAATTATGTGATCCAATAATATTTCTTTTAGAAACTAGTGGTGCTAAAATAGCACATACTTTCTTGCCTGTACTTTCATACAAAATTATGTGAAAGTACTCAAATTTTAGAAATTTTGTACATGACCCTATTTCAAAATCTATCTTTAAGCAATGGGTTTCATTGAGGAGAAAAAATTTCTATCTTCATAATTGTAGTTGTTGGAAGCCCCCCAAAAAATTTTGAATTTTTACAATTTTCGAAAAATGAGAATTTTCAATGAAAATGAGACCAGCACCATTCTCTTAAACATCCTTCACACTATCCAACAGCAAAATTTGATCAAAAATGATGACGCCATTTTTTTTATTTTAAAAATGTACCAGAGGCTTCATGTAAAGAACCCCCAAAATTAAAATATCGGTTTCAAATTCAAAGGGTCACCACCCAGATCACCCACATCGATTGGGGAATATTAATTTAGGGGGAAATTGGCCAAACAGTTTAGCTAGCGTTGCTAGCTAGCGTCGCTAGCTAGCGTTGTTCACAGATGGATGGACAGACAGACATGTTTTGCCAACATTCAATTTTTTGGTATCAAGGACCCACAAAACAGAAATTCTGGCTGCACCATGTGTTAGAAGATTAATTTATTTCTAAATTTTGAGAATGTATATATCTGCTTTTTTGTTAGCAAGGCCCTGTAACAAGGGTTTTGCTGCCAAAACTTCACATTTTTTTCGCGCAGCATTATATAACTTTCTCTCTACTGAATAAGCAGAGTTTGCAGATAAAAGGTTAGGAGAAAGGTACTGAATATCTCAGAAGTATACAATATTCCCAACAAAACTCTATATGAAAAATTATCCCATGAAACCCCAGGTTTAAAATCAGAGTGTCCTGCTGCTCATTGTTCAGAGAAAGAAATATAGAAAAGAACAGGGGGTTGCTTACTGGAATATAATAGACATCACAATGACAGAAATAGGCATTCTAATGTTAATCTTATGGGAGAATGCAAATAACTTACATAATTGGAGCCATTATCACAGGCAAAAAATGTTAACTTCCAGCGTTCCTGGGCAGAGAAAGGAATAACTATATTAGAAAATATAATAATATCAAAATTATAGCTTAGGAGCTATCTAAAATTTTCATACATACCATGCACATTTCACATAACTTTCCTTTAAATAAAGGATGATCATATGTTGCAGATTTATTGCACCTTAGGCAATCACCGTCACTCTGTTTTTTTTGCCTTTGATTCTTTAATGCTTTTCCTAGACATTTCATAATTTTAATCAGTTTGAGGCATTAAGTGCTGACAAATACAATAATATTTCAAAAAGTACATGTACATTTTGCACATATCAAAATATTGTTGCTACACCAATATTTTGTAGTAAAAAACACACAATAATATTACAAAATGCACTTGGAAAATAGATGTTAAAAGATTCTTCTCAGGAATTGAAAAGTTGCACACTATGATATATACAAGATACTTGGAAAGAGGCTCTTTATATGAGCATTTTGCAAACCAATAAGCAATTGCTGATGACAAAGTATTGAAGGGAGAGAAAATATTTTTAAAAAAGGGGAATCAATTACATTGTTAAACAAATTTCCATTAGCATTTTGAAACATTTTTTAACTTAAAGGACTCCACAACTGGTGTAATTGAAACAATGCAGATAAATATTTTAAGCTCATTCTATAACAGACCTTTGCCAAAGTGTATTGCACCTTTGTACTGCTTATTCACAGCTGTACTTGAAAGTTTTGCTTCTTTAGCTTGTTTATTCACAGATTCACTTGATTGACTTGATTCTTTGGATACCTTATTTACACTGGTTCCTCTGTTTCCATTTTTTTTTTTCTGAATGGAATTCATTGCAGCAATTTCTGTTAATTTATCTGCGATATATGGGGCATATCGCAAACCTATAACATAACATACTTTGACATTATGAAATGTTCACAGCCTTTTTTTGCAATTCTAAAATTCATATATTGAAAGTCTCTTTACTTGAAATCTCTTTTTGTCTCGTAGGTTCTGGAAAAAAATTGTTAAGTCCCCAAGCGAGATAATCCTGGTCACTCCAATCCAATACTTCATAGTTTTTTCTGCAATGTTCCTGAAACAGATAATGATTTTCCTCTAAAATAATCAGAGCAATACTAAACAGAAACTCCTAGCCTGAAAATTATAATGTTTACAAAGACTGCCAAACTATTACAAATCAAAGGGAAGGATGGAGACTTATGCCTACGAGTAGGACATTCCAGTAATAATTTCATCATCCATCTCTTGCATGATTACCTATATCATTCATACAGTAGGGAAAAATTATTGGAAGAGATGACAGAAGAAAGGACAGTGTACAGATGCACACAAAACAATCTGGCAGAGCAAGTGTTGGTGATGATTGTGAATCATTCAAAATATAAACTCAATGATCCTTAATTAAACATTATATTGAACTTCAAATTTAAAGCAATACCAAGAGAAATTTTTTTAGTTCTGTTACAATTTGCTACAACAATCTATTTATTGTAGCCACTTGTAGTCATTTAAGTGATGAAAATAGTCTAATTATCTCGTAAAAATTTCATGTAGATAGTTCACTTTACTTTGGGTGTGAAATAAATGTCTCTGCTTATGATAAAATAATTTTTCCAGAAAATGACAATTTTTTAGATGTTAATTTTTTTGTGCTCTAATGATATGTAGTGATAGCAATAATTAATCAAAAATTATTATCAATCAATTAATGTAATTATATTTTTGTTCCAATAAATTGATTACAATTAAATTGAAACAAAAATAATTGATTTATTTCCTTAAAAATTGAAACTTCTTCATAAATTATGTAATTTTGTGAGTACATACTTTATCAATTCTAAAACATTCTAAGTTTGTAGGTAGTTCCCTTTTCTACCATGTTTTTAATTAAGATGTTATTTTAATATCGAAGTATGTTAATCTATGATATAGGGCACATATTAGATTAGGCATGAAGAAATGTGTGTCGTTACTACCTGAATGGTCCCACAGATGCCACCATTATCAATTTCTTACCCCTGGATGCTCAAATTTGGCTCAAAGAAGCATAGACCTTATTAAGAGAAAGACACTCCATAACAAACGAACTGAAGGAAAAAAGGGAAGATATCCAGACCTACTCATCAGGAATTGCACCCAGAACTCCATTCAGGAATTCTTGTTGAAGAATCAGAACGTCCAAGATACCATGCAGGAGTATAGCGAGCCAAACACTTACTAAATATATGGATGCTGTTTTGTTTGTTTTTTGGACGTCAGATTGGAAGTTCTGCAAGAAGCTGTGGAAATTATTTCTTAATTATTCAGTTTCATATTGAACAGTATAAAAACAAATAAATACATACGAATGTATGTTAGTAAATACGCAAAAGTAAATGCAAAGACTCAAGGTGTTTTGTGAAGAAAGACTGCAACAATAAATATGAAGTTTGTGCGCACTTCAGGTTTTTCAAAAAATTCTCTTCCGGAATTCAAAATGCATCAATTGCTGCTTAAGGACAACCTTGCTCCTTGGGAAGATTTTCAGAAGCAGTCCAAATATATTTGTATGGAGTTTGGACAGAGTTTCAAAGTATAATTAACTATATTTATCTCAGCAAGGAATAAAAAATATTTAAGTATGTATTTTCATTAATAAGAGTTAATCTGATTGATATACATTGTTGTTCAAACACAACATTAATATGATTTTATAAAGAAATGGCTCTCATAAGTGAGAATTACTTGCAATTTGTAAAATGACACCTGTGGTATTACCACAACAGAAATATGAATAATTATTATTATGTCAAGTTGTGATAGTTTGTTATCATATATAAAATGTCTTCTTTTTTTTCTCTTTTTTTTTCCTCCCAAGCAAAAAACAGTGACTTGTCCTGGGCCCCATAAAATGTGAATGTCCCATTCACATGATGATTTGCGACAATGGTACCAATACATACGGCGGCGGCAGCAATGGTGTATCGGTTAGCTTATCAGACTGTTCTACCCAAGTTCGTGGATTCAAACCTGATCGAAGTTGTGGATTTCCTTCATACGCCTTCCTTCATAGGGGAAGTAAATCTGAGTGTACCATGTTAGTAAATTTACTGCTTGTAAAAGATCCTCAAGCCTAAATGAAGCCTCTGAGCTAAATTCAAATTGCTTGTTACGCCATCCTAGAAATACCTTCTTCCTCCACTAGTGGTGAAAGGAGCATAGCGAAATTTACGTGGTCAGGCGCAAGAGTGAGCCTGATGGCCTGAGTCTCGCCACGTCAAATAAGGCATCAATTCAATTCAATAAGGTCACATGCACTAGAAATGTTGAGTAAAAATATAATTAGAGCAACAGCTCTTCTTTATTTGAATTAAGCAGAAGTCATGATTTTGTTGTTGTTGTTGAGAATACTCGTTTAGTCTTCATAAAGTGTATTCAAACTGCTTTTGACTTTTCGACTCTTTGAACTCACTTCTTAATGTTTATCGTACTGGGATGAATCCAAAATTTTGGTGTGAAACTGTTAATTTCTAATTCAAAGGGAGTTCAAAGTACAGAGTACAGAGGGAGAGAGTAGAAACACAATTCATTTCCTATTCCTTCACCTGACTCCAGTTGACAGTTTCATTGAATTGTTATCAGAGATTTTTTCTAAAAATCAGTGCTCTGGATTATTTGCATTGTTTTATTTCTGTATGTACTTTTAATAAAGCTATTAAAAGTGAGGGTGTTTTTCACAGCTTTGCAAGTGTGTTTCAGTTGATAGTCTACAATTAAAACTGTAATGGCTAAGGAAAAAGAAAGACATAGGAGAGTTTTACCAGGCTTATCAATGATTTAATGAAGGGTTAATGCTGTAAAAACCCATTCAAATTAGAAAAAACACAAATATATTTCTACTTTTAAAATTTTCAACATATACAGGTAATGGATGGAGACAACTGTCCAGACAATCTACCCCTGTTTATAGTCTTTATCTACCTTTAAATGGAGCCAAAAATGAACACATGTTTTTGCCATCGAACGTAAGGATTATATATACCATTTACTTGATTCATTCATCTCTTTTCAACTATTTAATTGGTTAATTGAAATTGTTATTTTTTTGTTATAATTAATCAATCACAATTAATTGAAAGGGTTTTGCCATCAATGTATGATGTATGTATATTCATGAATGATCATTTTCTTAGGTGATATTTTAGCATACCACACAAAAATTAGATGAACTTACACTATTTTATTTACTGCACTTATTTAATTAAATATGATGAAAACTGAAAGTAAAACATCTATGCATGTATATTACATATTTAAAAATGTTTATATTTACAAACAGGTTTGTACTACAAATACAAAAAAACACATTTATTTTCTTTTGACTGTAGGAAAAAAGTCTTACTTTAATGGCTTCAGTAACTGATGTCACAAACTTTGGTGATTTGCTTGGAACACCATTATATTTCAAATAAAAATTTTCCAAAAAGGGTATAAGTGATCGAACAGATACCTGAAACAGAATTGACAATTCTTATCATTAGAAGTTCTATATTAGATATGAAAGTTCAAAAGTGCTATTCATTCTTTTGGAGTACTTAATAACATATTTCTCTTAAATTATAGTTTCTAAATATACACGAATAATTTTGTATCAAATTTCTCAACTGCTTTTATTGATGTAATCACAATTTATTTAAGTTTTTTATTGTTTTACACATGTCATTTTTTAAATTACTTATTTTGCTACAAGAAGTATGCAAATTGTACCTGAGATAGCAAGTGATCTCCAAACCAAAACACCCAGACTTTTCCTTCTTCTGATATTTCCATTCCACAGGCTGTATGGTTGACAATTAAAGCTACAACATGACAAAAAAAGACCCGAAACACATTAAGAAAATGAGAAAACTTTACTGTTCACAAATATCTCACACATGCTCGTGTGCATGCGCGTGCGCACACACACGTGCGCACCCACGCACACACACACACACACACACACAATAATTGTTAAATTGAAAAATAATAAGTTTTGAATACCATTGAAGGAATTGTTTTTATTGGTTTTCTACTTCTTTACACGGGGACCATTTATGTTTGTTCTTATGTACCTGGGAACCCTTTTTGGTGATCAGTAGGGAGCGGATTTTCATGACCTAAAACATCACGAACAATGATCAAAAAGATATATGGTATATTTTTAAAATGCCCTAAAAAACAAAGGGAAAAAAATGTGATCAAAACCAGTTCAGGTGAACAACTGGAACTGTTGGATACGTTGCTGATGTAATCACAGCTTCTATGCATTCAAGTGAACTCAGCTTTCAAACTTTTGGTTTGGACTGTTCTTTACTAGAAAATATGTCTTAAGGTATCCTGAAATTGGCTGAACAGACAATGGCACTGATAGGTGTCACAGGATTAGATTACAAACTCATAATGGCTGAGATTACAATTTCTGAACAAAAAAATTAAATAGACTACTCAAGTATTGTGTGGAGAGCACTTGTTGCAACTCATAAATATTATTTGAAGCAAGTACCATTAAAATTATATTAAAATCGATGGAAATGCATTAAAAATGAGGGAAAAAGATAAAACATGACTTATTAGCCAAATTCGATAAAAAATGCAAAAAAATGAAATATAGTAACGGGGCAATTATTATTGTTATAACATAAAATGAATTTCTATACAAAGCAGCACTGTTCTAAATTGAAAAGAAAAACAATGACAGTTCATTAAATCCGCTCTCTGGTGATCAGATATGGACAAATACAAATAAAAAATATTCTAGGTCATGGGATAGGTCTTTCAAGTAAAACAAACATTTGCTTACGAAGGTGCAAGTAAAATGAGATTTCAAAGAAATTTCATTAAAGTTGGGAAAGGTTTTTGTTGATCTATCAAATAAGCAAACATTTAATTCAATATTTTTTATGTGAGTTGAGACTGTCATCATCATCATCAGCAGCAGCAACAAGGTTTGGGCCTAGTGGCCCGTTCCGCTCTCAAGAGTCTCTTTCCATCTTGTGTGGGGTCTGCCTCTGGATCGTTTCCCCTTTGGTTTGTATTCGAGGATAGTCTTGGGAAGCCGTTCTTGTGGCATTCTGGTTAGGTGTTCGAACCAATTCTTCCTCGTTGAGTCGATCTTCACCAGTATGCTAGAGATCTGTAGTTCACCTCTGATGTCTTCATTTCTCTTATGATCTAGTAGTGTATATCCTGCTAATGGTCTCAGGAATCTCATTTCTGCCGTTTCGATCTTTCTTCTGTCTGACCTATTGATTGTCCAGTTTTCGCATCCATAAGTTAGCATTGGGACTGCCATAGTTTTGTAAAATTTTAGTTGGGTGTCTTGTCTGGTCTTTTGTCTTAGTGCTCTGCGTATAGTACCGTACAATTTCTGGAATTTTTGGATCTTTATGTTTATTTCTCCACCTAGTGAGTACATGACCTTGTCGTTGGTGGTGGAGCTTGCGTACCCCAATGATCCTGAGAGCTAGGCCGGCGGTAGCGAAGCTACTGGCAGGGCCACCCTTGCCGGACAGGTCGAAGGAGAGGGGTCAGACGAAGAAGTACTCCAGAAGAGGACCTCAACATCAAGAAAAACCCTCACTGGGCAGACGCAGCTCAAAAGCCGTAGAGAAGGCAATGCGTCTAGGGAGAGCAACCCAAAAAATCTGCCCTGCAAGTTTGGAGGCAGTAAGGTGGCAGCCCCACCACCAAACTATCCCTGTGTGGCGCCCGTAACGCAACCAGGGGAAACTTACCTTACTGACAACTCTCGAGTTGAGACTGTATTTACTACAAATCCCCAAAGTGTTTTTGACAAGTATTTTATTATCTAATCAGGGCCAGATTAACATAGTGGCACAAGTCACCGGCCCTGCACTGTTCAAGAACCCATACTAATTTTGAAAATCAAATTATAGTTAACTGTGAACTAGATACATGGGGGTAAATTATAACCTATTAATTATTATGTTCTGTCTTTTGAAAATATGCAAAATATTTACCAGAGTAAGATGAGTTACCAATGAATGTGATCATATGGTGTGAAAATTTATTATGTTAACATCTGGTAAAATTTATGAAATGTTTCAAGTGTAATTTATTAGTATTTGGATGTACAATAATACCATTTCATATCAACTCATTTTTCACTGATGCAATATTTTGTTTTGCACTAGCGTACAAAAAAATCCAAGTTGAAATCATTAATATTTTATTTCATTTTTATTTTGTATTATATTTTTTATTAGGTCGCTTTTATCCTTTTGACTATTTAATGGATCCACCCATCACATCTTGGGCATTTTCTAAAGGGTTTGTGGAGCACTTCAACACCTTGCTCTTCACGCATGTTCTTTTAGGAAACGGGGATGGTATCCTCTTCCTCCTCGACTGCCAGATGGTCCTTAGAACCATGTAAGCTAGTTATCACAAGTTCGTGTATTGTTGAGGCACTCTGAAGGCCATCTCAGATGCATTAAACAGGTTCTCGCGACAGTTATATTTTAGGTTAGTTATTATTTTACGTGGCGAGATTCAGCTCATCCATCAGGCCCGCTCTTTCGTCAGACCACGCAAATTTAGCTACGCTCCTTTCATCATCTAGCGGAGAAAGAAGGTATGATCTCTGGCGTCAAAACAGACTATTTGAATTTAGTTCATAGGCTTCTTTTACGCCTGAGGATATTTTATATACAGTAAATCTACTACATAGGACACCCGGCTTTACTTCCATTCCGCAGGAATCCATACAAAGGATTTGTTCGCTCTTAAAAATCCTCGAGCTTCGATCGGTTTTATCCCGCAAACTTGGGTGCAACAGATAACAGTTATACCACCGACCCCCTGTCATATCTGCCTGGAAGTGGAACCAAGGGGAATCGAAAGGTAAAACATGTTGGACGGAAGGGCTCCACCTTGCAAGTTTTTGCAACAACATGCAAGCACACATCCATGTCCAAGATCAGATTTGAACCAGCGATCCTTCTAGCCTAGAAAATTCAGGCATTTTGCCCTTTCACCTTGGCTGTCCAGATCGACTCGTTAATGTTATATTTTCATCAATATACTATTTTCTATAAATAAATATACATTATATGCAGTGACCGTGATTTTTTTAGTACTTCCAAAAGGCCTCCCGAACTATTCCCAGACGCAGGAATGTTTTCCTATTCTAAAATTCATCCCGGAATCTCCATTATTCTCACCTGGTAAATAACTGGAAAACCAGCACTGATAGCTGCATTGGTTACTGCAACAGGAAGTACTGTTACTGCAAGATCAAAAAGTTCACTGGAAATACAACGGTTCGATCGTGGAGGTTCAAGCCGGAGCAGCACCATATACTATAATATGCTTCTATATGCATTCTTTTTGCACCTTTCCGCAGCTACAGTGTTTTCCTAAATGTAGTGAACGAGAAAATCTGCTGGTGAGTTGCAAGCTGTGCTCAAAACGAAAAGATTGTGCTTCAGGCGAGGAAACGTCCAGGGACAACGTTGATTAAGATTTCAATCGAGGGTAACTTATCAGACAAGCAATTCTTTCAACTTGGCGAGAGCTTGTGCATATCAATCTTCCGGACTAGTAAAGTCGTAGGTAGTGAGAAATCGCAATGAACATCGATCATTTGATGACTTTGTCATCCGAAAAAAAACAACCGGAAATTAAATCTTTGATGCATCATGGGCTCTGGATTTCAAATTTAAAAACTAAGTAACTTTCAGATTTTGTCTTCAAATTCTGATCCAGATCACCCTCCTCCCCCTCAAAAGCAAAAAAAATAATACAAAAAAGGTTTTCTATCCGATGGGTGCCTTTTTTACTTTTGGCCGGCCTCTCGGCTTTCCCACCAAGTCTGCGACGACAACCGCCAGCGCGGCAAGCGCCTTCTCGCTCCCATTCCGGCGCTCGCCAGTAGAGCCCTGAGGGCGTGAACCCGGGCAACTTCCTTTAATCGGGAAGCCGAAAATTTGCTTCATTCGAAATAATGAATTTCCTTCTAATTCTAATTAACCGTTATAAGTGATTTCTGTTGCTTGGAGAAATGAATAATGGAGAGAGGGTTTCCTACCAGTAAACAAATAAATTCGAAATTAATAATGTTTAAAATGATTTTAGCTAAGATACACAATCAGCTGTGTATGTTTTTTCATCACCTTCTTCTTCAATGGTATGTAACATTTACATTATTTGCGCTAGTTGAGTATGCAATGTGTGAATTCAATTATATTTTGATGATCATCTCGTATCAGAATATCAATTCAGAATTCAAATCAGAATGTCAGAAAGTCAATTTTAAATTTAATAAAGCTTGCCAGCGTTCAACAGATCCTGAAAAAACAAACATTGTAGTCTCGACTCTACCTTTCTGGTACAACACTATGCAGCGAAATTAATATCGCAAATCAACAATTAAAACTGCGACTGAGAGAAACAAACGTAACACTTTTTGAAACTAATTTTCTTTCAGCAAAACACTTCATCTGTCACGGCCTGCACATGAACCTTACTGGAAAACATGCAGTCGGCAAGAAGCTTGCTCAACACATTATCAACTCCAGTCCTACAGTCTCCTGCCAAAAATCCATCCCTTTCACCTTCTTTACGTTTACCAACCCCACTCTTATTTCGTACCCTCTTACCTCCTTCTGTGATCCTACTCCCGTTCCTACCATTCCCACTACCGATTCACCTACACCTGATGCCCCAATTTCCCCACAACCAGTCTCTGCTGGGACCCATTACAACCTTAGACCACGCCCTCGAGGTAAAAATGGAGTAAATACATAGCAACTAGTCAGATGCAGTAGATAAACATCCGTGTAGGTACTTGCAAATGATAACATACGGCACCATAATGTTCAATTCCTTTCAAATAAAATTGAGTTTATCGAAGCAGCTCTACAGAGCGACTTAAATCAAACGGATGCTCTTTGCTTTTCAGACGTTGGTTATTTCATAATGAACTTCCATATCGAAATTTATCCGAAAAATATCCGCATTTTTGAAATTCCAAACTTTTACCTCGCTGGCGAGAGTCTTGACGGACGCGCGCTGCCGTGGCGGCGTGGGAAGGCGCCCTTACACTGTTATGACAAGTGATGACAAGAATAAGTCTTTGCCAACTTGGTTTTTGCGTTAACGAAACCATTTCTGTGTTGTTGTTTTTACTGTATACTCGGTTTGGAGTCATTCTGTATTAATCTAAATAGTAGTATTTACATTACACAATATTGATCTGAATCTGAAATATACCATAGAACAGAAAGAAAACATGAGTACAATACCTGGCCACCATGGAAAGCCGGTTAGCTTGGCCCACACCAGAGTCCCTGGTTCAAAGGATTTGTCTTCATCCTGTTTTGAACTATTACTTCTTCCTGCAACATTCCTTTTGGTATGCTCTTGAATGTCGGCTGAGTTCAATTTTCGGACTTTTACAATTGGTGAGCTTTTCAGATCGAATTCTGAAAATGGAAAACAAGTTTAATAATAATAATAATAATAATAATAATAATAATAATAATAATAATAATAATAATAATAATAATGCATTTGGCATTTTGGGTCGATAGTCCGACTCCAAAGAGCGATATGTGGCGAACAAGATGTATTCTCTTCGCAGTAAGTAGCAAGATCCGCCTGTATAAGGTTTCCTTTGTAACACAGCTACAGAAAGTGGAACGATTTTAAAGGAACACAGCTACTGCTCAATTTTTGCCTCGACCAGGAATTAAACCCAGGACCACACCATGGGAAGCTAGTACGCTGCCCAATAATAATAATAACAACAACAACGATGATGATGATGATAATGATAATAATAATAATAATAATAATAATAATAATAATAATAATAATAATACCATAAATACAGTAAACCCTCGTTAGCACGAACAAAACTTGGGTCTCAGGATTACAGTAAAACGCTCTATTATAATTATCAAAAAACACGAATTTTTATAACACGAACTCCGAATATTTCGACCGCATGAAATTTCGCGTCAATGAGGGTTTACTGTAATATAAATACCGAGCGAAGTGGCTCAGTGCGTAGAGCGCTGACTTCGCGGTCGGGAGGTCGGGGTTAGATTCCCAGGCCGGCCATCCTGACCAGAAATTTCGTGGTTTTCCTCGGTCATACAGGGTAATGCTGGGATGGTTCAAAAAGACCACGACCACCTCTTATTCGATCGACAAACAAAAACAGCTTCTTTTCTTAAAAAGTCGATTCTCCCGAGCTTGCTAGCCACTGCAGATGACGCCAGCACCACCACACTGCGACGGCGAAAGCCGCTCCCCGGCCCGACACGCTCCTGTGTAATAGACAATCCGCCCATATTGGTAGAATATCCCACATATCCCACATATTGGTATTGTGGTGAGTTTTCGTTGGCATTACCAATGAAATAATTATGAGTCGTCATTACCAACAGTATTATTCATTAAAATAGCTGCTTTCGATGGCTTAGCCATAATCATCAGTTTTCTGTTGTATGTAAGCTACAAAACGTACGACTAGTCGTATGACAGTACAGCGCATCGAGAAAGGATTTTAAGGCACGGCACCTTTTCAAAAATATAGCTGTTTTTACACGGATATTTTAATATATGTATTTAGGGGGAAGAAATAAAGCGAAATGAACACAATTTGTGACACCTTTTTACATCATTTCGTCAGATTACTTCATTTAGCCCTTTCCCCCTTTTTATGCAGCACCTTTTCTCCACTTTTTTCTGTGTTTTTATACCATTGGACAGAAAAATGTATTTTTTCTCGTTTTGAACAGCTTTTTGAAATCTCAATTAATAAGAAGTTAATAACATTGAATAAATATTAAAATATATTTTATGTTAACCACCAGTAATTTACATCCAGCAACAATGGTCAATCTGCAGCTGTGAAGTCAAATTTGAATTTCAACAATGTTGCCGCAACAGTTCAACTCTTTCCCGCCGAATTTGCCAATCTGCAAGCTGGCAAGCTGGCGAGTAGGTCGGCGCAGGATCTCACGTACCAACAGAGTGTTACACTGTAACTTCATAGACAGACAAATCAGGACATTTAAATGGGTGTGCAGAATATCTACTTATCTGCGACCTGAGAAAAATGTTTACCTCTCGCCATCGTGTCGCCATCAATAGTAAGCCAAAAGAGCACTTTGGATTTTTGGATTTGGCAGTGCTTGTGGATTTGGAGGGGAAAAGAGGGTGTATGGGTTATTATCTGTGCCCGGGATGTTACCTGTGCCGGGACGCGTTTCCCACATGGACGCAGTTTGGCGCGCCTGAAAGTACGCTCTTCAACGCGGTTCACGGGAAAAATAAGTTCAGTCAGTTCTGGCAGTTCTGTATCAGTTTTCTCTCTACTATAGTGTTGAATAAATAACTATGAACCACCTCTTACGGACTCTACAAACAAGAAAAAATTGGTGAAAATTATACGTATATTCTAGAAACAGAGTTCATTAAGGTTTAAACCTTAATACAGTTGTTTCAACAGCACCTTTTTTGTACCTTTTTGTATTAATTTTCAAAACCTTTTCCCCCCTTTACGGCAATAATTTGCAGCTCAAAATCCTTTCCATACCAGAGCAATAGCACAATCAACCGAGAAATCGTCACCCGCCATCGGAGGTCAGCGGAAACGCGCAGTTGCGGTAGGTTTCTCCCTCTCTGGGATGGAAATGAATGCAGAGCCAAACACTTCCTCCCATATCCCAGGCACCATGGCTGACAATATAAATTGTCAAGGAAGTGGCAATAAAGTTCAACCGCTGAAACCTCAGCCCAACACACTGACCTACAAACTTCATCAGAAAAAAGAAAAAAATGGTACTAACCATGCTACTAATTCACAAAATAAGGACAAAACTGCAAAAACCAACGGCAAACGTTCCAAAACGATAGACAAAGACGGTTTCATTTCAGTAGACTCATTGTTTTGCCCACGACAGACACCAGAGGTGCCGCCAAGGGCAATACAAAACCGCTTCACGGGCCTCGAAGTCGAAAAAGCAATTGAATTAGCAAAAGACAATACTGAGAAAGAAACCGACTCCAATCCAGCTTCAACTTCAACCGACAACAAGACTAGCGACTCACGCCACTCCTCACGTCAGCCCTCAAACGCGGGAAACATCGGCGCCTTCTTTATTGACAACATAATAATCAAACCTACTACAATACGTAAAAGACGACGTTGACAGACAAATGCGGTCGCAACCAACACGGACTGAACTCATTATCAGACCCTACACAATAGGAGACATCAAGAAAATACAAAAGATACTTAAGATGCAAGAGCAAAAGCATATCACTTCCACCGTGCAACGACAGAAATACGTCACAGATTAATTATCAGAGGACTAGACAAAAACAAGCCATGCGAGGAAATCACTGTCGAACTAAAGAACCGCAACTTCCCTGTACACCATCTCGATGAACTGAAAAGAAAAACGGGACCGGACTTCTTAGAACCACTAGGCATCTACTCAGTACAAATAAACTACGGCCAAATCGGAGAACTCAGAGCAATTCGTTATCTTATGCAGTTAAGAATAACAATAGAGGAATAATAAGACAAAGACCGCACTCCCCAGTGCTTGCACACAGTGCTTGCTCTGGGGACATACTAAAACGACTCCGGGCGCCCTGTATGTGTTCGCGATGTATGGGTTGCGCTGGACATCACGCTACTTCAGAATGCACCGCTGACACGACCACTGCAAAGTGCGAGAACTGCGACGGGGACCATCTCACGAACTATAGAGGCTGACAAGTTAACGTACAAATAGTAGAAAACAGGCAACAACTACACCGACTGAAATAACAGCGTGAAGTAGCTGCCGCCCGCGCCAACTGCCAATAGTGAACCAAGCATATCTTCCGCTCCTCAGACCCGCCGGAGCTAACATGTTCGCCTGAGGAAAGCAACCCGCACAATAGCAAAGCAACACTGGTGGCCCACACTCCGGCGCGCCGCACTATCTGACATACAGAAACTATTCGAACGGCTCAAAGAAAAACCGTAGCTCAAATAGTGAAAATCCCAGGCGATACTTTAACAAAACTACTAGTTGTCGTAGAACTTTTATAAATGACACACCGAGTTTATAACGCGAAAGCGCGAAATAGAACAATTGTGTGACGACTTCAGCACTGCAATACTTCTAATTCAAGAGACATTCCTATAACCATATAATCTTCCTCTCTCCGAGGCCCTCAGATCTGCAGCGACAAATGTCCGGCGGCGGCATCGTCATCGCCGTTGGTCGAAACAGCGTTTGTCCGCAGGAGAATAAGTACAGCGTAAATGTACAGCTTGTCCTCCCCTCTTAAAATGTTACTACTCTAAATGTATGTAAATCCAGTGGTTAGGCGGAAGAGCAGGCCCTATGGCCTGAGCCTTGCCATTAATAAAGATATTATTATTATTATTATTATTATTATTATTATTATTATTATTATTATTATTATTATTATTATTAGGAGACTAACGAAACTACAACTACAAATGACAGAAGCAACAATAGTCGAACTTGGCACTGCGAAAGGACCCGTACTTTTCATATCAACGTAGAAAATTGTTAGTAAACCACTTCAGACAGCAGACCTAACTGCTATCTTTTCCTTCGGCACGACAATCGACAGACGAAACTCCCAGGGCCCGTCGATACTCTATTCGACTTTATACTTTTCGTTCCCACGCTCTCCATTCAAACACCTTCCGACCCGACACATTTAATTAACGACCTTCCTCACGACATTCTCTTCCTCCCTCACGCTCAACAGTTCCAACACCTATATTCGAACTCCAATTCGACCACCTTCCAATTCACTTCGCCCTCTAGCTCGGGGCCTACCCTCATGCAACCCGCCGAACACCAAAACCATTCACTAACAGGCGCGAATACCGTGAGACTAGAGCACAAATTTCACTATTCCCGCCATCTCCTAACCACAACAGACGAAGCTGACACCGCCTTAGACAGATTGAACCACCAATTACGCCACCCCTACAATAATTTCACCGACGGACTAGAGCAAAAAACGATCAAAGCTGCACTCCCAACCAACGTAATCTTGCAAATTCAAGCAAGAAGATATGCGCAAAGACGCCGCTATTATGCCACCCGCGACCCTACCCGACAAAGAAAACTTTCAACACACGAGACGAGCAGTGTCAAGATTGCTAAAAGTACACAGAGCAGACGAATGGGACCAATTCATAAAAATGCCAACATAAAAGCGCGACGGTATATCTTCATAGTCTTGAAATTACTACTGTATTCACCGAAGACGAAATCAACGAGAAAATAAAAAAAAAAACTACAAATCAAGCAAGCGAGTGGACCTGACGAAATCAATGCCGAGATGCGAAAATACCATCCACGCAGCGCAATTAGATAAATAAATAGATTAATCAAAGTTCGATTTGAGCTAATGCTCGGTGGGAAACCTGGTT